TTCCCATGTGGCTGGGATTAGAAAGGAATACAAACTTCACCACTGCCTGGAAATACTGCTGCTTCAACTTCACTCTGAGTTCCAACTGGAATGGGAGGAGCACACCTTTCCCAAGCTGTTGCGATGATGGAAAGAAAGTCTTTCCATGGCCCTGCCCTATGCCAGACCACTATGGGGGTAAACGGGGAAGGGGGGCTACGTGCAGACGTGCTGAGGAGGGTCCCAAGTATCCCTACTGACAAGACTACAGATTCCCTGAAGGTAGCAGAAATTATCTTCTACACATCTGCTGTAATGAAAATGATCTTAAGTGTTTTTAAACCACTATAATTTTGATTGCAATAGTGGTTAAAATCCCTGAGACGGGTGGCTGGTCTTATGCAGGGGGCTCACAACAAATCAGAATCAGATGCAAGTCAGGGTCCACTTTTCATCACTCAACCATCCATTCATTCACTGACTCCTTCATTCATTCAAAAACATTCATTGAGCCCTTATCATGTAACAGGTCCTGTGCTATGAACTGTGAATAGGAAGTCAAGAAATTCTTGTCCTCGAGATCATAATTTAGTGTTTAAGATGAGAATTTTAATAATTAAACCAGATGATAAAAGCATGGTGGAGGGACATCTACCTTAATCTGAGGAGACAGGGAGAACTCTGTGGAGGTAAAATTTAAGGTAAGCCTTGGAAGATAAGTCGAAGTCAGGTAAAGCAAATGAGGATGATGGGAAGAAGGAATTTCACAAAAAAGGAAGGGTAGCAGCAGAGAGGTTTATCACGAATCCTTCCCCCTTTCAGACCAAGACTGGAAATACATTGTTTCATTTCCTATGAGAAAAGTAATGTGTGTTCAGTGCTTATTTACTGAAAATTCAAATCAGTGATAACAATCACGGATAGTATACAACCACCTTATCTTTCCTGTACCCTCTCTCCCACTGCCAAAGACAGCCATTCTTTTGGCAACAGGATTCTAGATGTTTTCTGTGCATCAAGAGAAACAGATTCAGATAGTTTTTAACTTAAAAAAATAGCTTAAAAATACATCCCTGGCATCTTGCCATATGAAAGTATATCACATCTACTACATCGTCATTTTAAATGGCAACTAGTATTTGTTTGAGTATTTTATAATTCATCTGTAGACTTTTTTGCTATGAACACTTTGACACATTTTTATTTATTTGTTCTATTATTCCCTAATGATAAATTACTTAAAGTAAAATCACTAAGCATAGGCACATTTCCACTTGTAGCAGTAGGATGTGAAAATGTGAGCCTCCCTCCAGACTCAATCTAATGATAAATTTTTTTCTAATTTGATTATTTGGTTGAGCGTACTTTCATATTTTATTGGCTAATTGTATGTCTTTTTCAAAGGCCTGCTCAGGTCCTTTGCTTAGTTTTATATTAGGAAATTGTCTTCTGACTGGCTTGTATAAATTCTTTATACATATGTTGAGGTTATTTTCTCAGTCTATTCTTTCAACTCTGTTTATAATGAGGTTTATTAAGCCTATACAAATGTTTTAATCCAATTAATCTCTCTTCATTCATGATTTTGATGTACTGATAAGAAAGGCCTTCTTAATAAAGATAATAACTTTCCTATACTCTTTCAAATACTCTTACTACTGTTATGAGTTTTGATTAGTTTGTTTTTATATTAAACATTTGATCCATCTGATATTTATTTTCAGTCTATAGAATGAAATAGGAATCAAAGTTTATTTCATTTTAAATCTCTGCCAGCTGTCCCAGTATCACTTATAACAGTGCTTCTCAACCTTCCTAATGCCGTGGCCCTTTAATACGGTTTCTGTGGGTCGCGACAGGACCCACTGACTGACTTACAACATTATGTCAAACTCATCCTTTCCATTCTCAACTCTAGAACTTCTCTCGTGTAGATATTGAACTTCCTATTTTATCCATCATTTCTCAATTATCTTCTCCACCCTGAAACTCCATCCAGTTACGTTTGCCTTCCTTTTTTGAGCTGCAGATTGTCTTTATGAATCCAGGGAAGTTTTTTTTTTTTTTTTTGCAGTTTTTGGCCGGGGCTGGGTTTGAACCCATCAACTCCAGCATGTGGGCTTGGCGCCCCACTCCTTTGAGCCACAAGCGCCGCCCGAATCCAGTGATTTTTGCTCCCAGCAATCTCCTCACACTTACAAAAGGCAGTTTATGCTGTCCAGAATCTGGCATGTATAGGCCCAGCTGACCATTGTTTGAGTCCGCTCTCCCTCTTTCTCTACCCAGCTTAGTATGACAAGTGGTTTTGAGTCGGGGGATTCGTGGCTCTAGACAGTCACTCGCTGCCCTCCCCCCACCCTCCTTGGGCACAGGAGGCGGCTTTCCCCCCTGCCTTGGTGCGTTTCACCACTACTATGAGAACTCTTCTGCTTCTGTGGGAATCACATACACTGCAGCGTTATTCACACTAGCTTTTTCAGAATGCTGTGGGGGTTTCTGCAGAATGTCAGAGCACATAGACACGAGCATAAGCATCTCTGCATGTGCCTGTTTGGTGATGGTGAGAGGATTCCTTCTCGGAAATGGGGCTGTGGGGCATTAATTGAGTCGATTTTATTCTCATCTTCTAGGTAATCACAATTCTCTTTTTAATCTCCATATCATAAAGTTCCTCCAGCCAGGTTCCTCTATGTACCATTCACACAGTTCTTGGTCAAGACTCCCAGGCACTAGAGTTTATAAATTTACTTTCATAAAATAAAATCATTTCTGTCATATCTGAGTCTTTACTCTGGGTTTCCCAGTCTATTTGAAGATGGCCTCAATTGTGCATTTTACCATCCAGGATGCTTTTCTTTGGTGTACATTTGGGACATTTTCAACATTAGTATTTGAATATCTTTAGTCATTATTATAAGCTGAAGCTGTTCAATATAACGTTAAATAATAAAAACTGGATGGAGTTCAATTCATTGATAAGGGCCAGTCAAACCAAGAAAAGTTTAGTTTAGTACTTTCAAGCTCACTGGCTGAGAGCAAAAGAAACATTTGTCCACTAGATGACTAATCTTAAGAAGAATATATAAGTGTACTGTTCAGTATGATAGTCAACTCATGTATTTTTAATGTAAAAAAGACTGTCAAAACTAACAGAACTATAATAAATTGTTACTGCAGGAGGCTACTTTAACTAAAATATATATGCATAAGAAAGAATTGCTTTAGCCATGTAAATTCACGTGGTTCAAATGAAATGGCTTCTAATTATTTCATAATTTAAAAATTATTAATGTGAAATTCTTACGTGAAATATTTATGGGTCTACACAATTATGATCAAAGAACTTGGCAAAGGGGGGGGGAATTATCCAACATTTTGATCAGATCAAGACTAAATATTTTGAGATACTCTTTTCATACTCATAATAGTATTGATAACTTTTTATTTGATCTTTGCTTTCATGAATTTATTTTATTTTATTTACTTAGTTTGAGACAGAGTCTCACACTGGAGCCCTGGGTAGAGTACTGTGGTGTCTAGCTCATAGGAACCTGAAGTTCTTGGGCTCAAGTGATCCTCTTGCCTCAGTTTTTCTATTTTTAGTAGAGATGGGGTCTTGCTATTGCTCAGGCTGGTCTCAAACTCCTGAGCTCAGACAATCCACTTGCCTCGCCTCCTGGAGTTCCAGGATTACAGGTGAGAGCCACTGCACCCAGCCTTGTTTACATGAATTTAAAATCACAAATCCTGACAAATTTTAAGTTAGTGGGATTTCATTTTTTTTTGTTTTTACTACATATTGAAATCATGTTAAGTTGTTAAGTCCGGAGCCTATTTACTCATTCTTTTCTTTTTCCCCTAGGAATCAGTTTTTCATACTACTTATATCTTATTAGCTAAAATGAGTCACCTAGGCTGTGCCTAACTCCAAGGAGGAGTGGAGTACAATCTTTCTATTTGCCAGGAGGGGAAGAAAACTGGGGGCAGAACTGAACTCCAGTAAAGCTATACTGCTGACAGTTATAATGGTATTTTTATTTTAGAAACTATCTTGTTGCCCAAGGAAAAATTTAACAAAAAATGATGAATTTTTAAAGAAGAATATGTCATTAATTTCTCATCTCTCTGAAATATCAAGTATGCACATGTTTTTGGGTTCTTCTCTCCTTATGCCGTTTAAAATTTTACACGGTTGTAATCAGACTCTCAATAATATTCTTCGTATTTATTGTTGTCCTTTGTATTTTCCCTCTTGCCATAGAGGCTATAATATTTCGATATTGGTATAATACTTAAGGTGAAAGTTTTAAATCATATATTTCTTAGAATATTTAATAATTCTTACTCTGATTTTAAACTTGTGTTCAAATGCATATCAATAAATTTATATATTTCTTGTCTTAAGCACTTGCAGGTAAACCTGATATTTCTGGACCCTCTTAACATGTAAATGAGCTATGGCTAAACAAATAAGCTGCTTAGTTCTGAAAAAATATCACTAAATTCTCAAGAGACTTTCTAACACAGCAGGTAAAGTAACTTGAAAATCTTGGCACCAGAAAAACTAAAGGAATATGATTATTAAGTAGCTCAAATAGTATATCACATCTAAAGATGTCAAGTTCTCAGAAAGGAGAATGGTATTTTAAGAAAATCAATTTTTATAAGTTATCTTATAAAACCAAAACCCAAGGAAGTAACAAAATGATGTCAGATAATACTTTAGTTTATCAAAGTATTTACTGCAAGTTTCCACTTCATGGCAAGTTCCCTGCTGTAAGTTTGAAGTACATAATAAATATATAAAAATTAAATGGCTTCAGAGCTTCCAGGAAGGAACCCCCTATGAAAATGACCAATTCCTTTAGAAAGTTGAAGCATGTGGATCATCTGCGAAGTGACTATCAATGAAAGGCAGAAAAAGATACACATTAAAAGCTGAGGCACTGGCAAGGAGTGGCTTATTGGCTTTCACACGTGTTGCCTGAAGGAAAAAACGTGCATATTTAAATGTGTCCTACCATTTGTACTTCAATATTACTTTGTTGCTCAACTTTTATTTCTTCCTCATGAATTAACTTAGACCCACTTTCTTCTGGCTTAGACTCTTTCTGGTCTTCTGTGCTGATGGCTGTTTCTACATCCTCAAGTTCCTCTTTCAAAATCTCGGTTTCTAGAGTAGTGGGTTCTTCTTCTGTTGGTTTTGGAATATGTCGCAAAGGAGAAACGTGATCATAGTGAGTGTGTAGGACTCGTAGAGCAATGTCACTTGCTGCTAATATCCTTGGAATTTCAAATCCAACTTGTGTTTCAGAAAATCTGATACTTTTGTACCTGTTGATAATTAATTTTACAAAAAAGATGAGCCCTTAGCAAATTCTAGGTCTGTTTCAAATTTATACCTAAGCTCCAGTTTGGGTCCCAACCGTATGTGCTTTCTTTACAGCATATGGACCTGGTTGCTGAGCCTAAGGGTGTCAAAACACTCTCCTGGGATCCGTAACCCCACTCTTCTCCTCCATCCCTGGTAGCTCTTCAGTCTGCTTTGCACGGCCTTCTTCCTAACCATCTCCTAAATGCTGATGTTGCTCACTGCTCCATCCTCTACACACATATCCTATTATTATTTCTGTGGCCTCAATTCCCATTTATATTATCAGGGTTTTGTTTTTTTTGTAAACATGAGTTTTATTTCCAGGGCAGGGGAAGAGGAATCCCTGAATGGACTTGCAGAGGTCCAAAAGTACCCTTTCATAGGTGTGAGCATATGTAATTTTTTGATGTTGAGAATAATCTAGGACTCCCCTAAATTAAGAACCTATATGCTGATGGCTAAATTAAGAACCTATATGCTTAATCAGAACCTAGATTCTGATTAAGAATCTATATGCTGATGACTCCCTGAAATATACTCTACCTCAATGCCTTCAGCCAGTTGCACTTTGGTATCTCATAAGTACTTCACACTTAATAAGTCCAGCACCAAACTCATCCTTACACCCCCTACCACCATCACCATCAAAAATAAAACAAAAATTGTTCTGCCTTCACTTATTCTTTATCTTAGTAAAAGATGCTGCCTTAATTCACTTCTTCAACCTGAGTGAGGATAGAACTATTCATTTTATCTTTATTCTTTGAAAGCTATACTGATTAAGTTTCTTCACTCTTCTGAACATGACATATTTTACAATGAAAATTGTCCCTGATTAGATAAAGCCAAGACTATTTTGTAGTAAACGGAACTTAAAAAATATTTTGTTCCTTCCTTTCACAAAATTGCAAAAAGTCCAATTTTATTCAATGTCATACAGCTAGTCTTTTCAGAGAGGGACCAGAACTTAGGCCTTCTAATTTTTATTCTGGTAATTTCCCCTTAAAACTCACTACCAAACTAAAGCAATTAATTTGAAATGTTTATGATTAAGCAGCAACCAAGTGATTATAAAAATTTTATCATCACTATCACTCCTCAGAAAGGTGTTTCTTTGTTGAAAACAACTGGGAAAACCTCACTTAAACATCTTAAAAAACAACAAAATCTATTATTTTTAACAGTTCACAAAGATAAATATATATTTTTAAAGTTCTGGAGTGCCATGTCAGAAGTACCTACCAGTTCTCTTACTGGTGAGGGGAAGTGAGATTGCGTGAGTGAAGAGAAGGGAAAGACCTTAGAGTTACTGCATTTATTTTTGCCTTTTGTTTGTTTTTCTTTAGAGAAAGGGTCTCGCTCTGTTGCTCTGGCTCATCTCAAACTCCTGGGTGCAAGTGATCCTCCCGCCTTGGCCTAACAAAGTGTTGGGCTTATAGGTGTCAGCCACCATGTCTGGCATGTTTGTATGTTTGTACTAGACACCATGGTGCAACTTTTACATGCACTAATGTTTACTCTTCTAGTCTATTAAGTAATTCAATCATCATTTTACTGATGATATACTGAAACTCACTAAGGCTAATTACCCTGCCTAAGGCAAATGGTACATCTGTGATTCAACCCCAAGTTGGCTGATTTCTAACATGGGTTTTTCCAAATACATCATGCTAATGCAGCAGGCACCTGACTGGCAATCGCGGTGTGACTTTAGTGTCTTTCCACCTACAGAGAAAGTATCACTCACGGGGGTACCTTGGATTCTTCTTGAGGTTTGCCCACAAATACAGAGTAATATTTTCATCTCGAATGATTTTTTCCATATTTCCAGTGTCCAGATCTGCCAAAGTACTAGCTTGCTGTAAGAGAAAAAGAAATCATTATAAAGGGCCAGAGGCCTCAGAATTTATACAATCTTGTTAAGTTATTTCATCACTTATGTGTTAAGTTCCTTTTATTAATTATCTAAAAGAGTAACTTGGGTAAAAATAGGGTTCAATTAAAACAAGAAAAAAATTGCTTTTAAAAATCCTGTAAAGGAGGCAAACTTACCTAATTAAACATGCCTCTTTTCTGCTCAGTTTCTCTCTTTAAATTTTATTTAACTAGTTTGTTGCTTTGAGGAGCACAAGTGGCACCTGTAGGTTACGATTATATTACTTTTTCAGTCTTAATATTAGAATCATGACTTTCCATTTTAACTATACACATGCTTCTTTAACTATATTTTATTAAAACCTAGACTACTGGGCTGGGCGCTGTGGTTCACGCCTGTAATCCTAGCACTCTGGGAGGCTGAGGCAGGTGGATTGCTTGAGCTCCAGAATTCTAAACCAGCCTGAGCAAGAGTGAGATCTTGTCCCTAAAAAAAATAGCTAGGCATTGTGGTGGGTGCCTGTAGTTCCAGCTACTTGGGAGGCTGAGGCAGGAAGATTGCTTCAACCCAACAATTTGAGCTATAACACCAGGGCACTCTACTGATGGCAACCAAGTAAGATGCTGTCTTAAATAAATAAATAAAATAAAATAAAATAAAATCTAGACTGTTCTACTGCAAAAGTTAGCCTATTTATGAACATACCGAGTTTAGAAAGCAAAATATCCAGTGTATGGAATCCAGATGAGTCATGTGTTTTGATATCCAATATTAAACATATAAGTATATCCTTAATAATTTTTAAATAAAGACTAACATCATTTAACACTTATTGCTCAAGAAATCAGCCCTTATAAAGGATTTAAATAATTCAATATGTGTTTGGTTGTTATAATGTAAAAACTTGAAAGTGTTGGGGATTGTATTGATTGCTGTTTTTTTAACTGATTATTTCCCCACACTTTTGTTTTGTGTGACTTCAATTGTTTTAAGTGTTCAGGACAGTTGTCTTATACAACTGTTCCACATTAAAAATTCTGTAATTGTTTCCTCAAGGTAGCGCATGACTTGCTCCTTTATCCCCTTATTTTTTGTATACTGGAGGTTTAATTAGATTCAGACCAACCATTTTAGCAAGAAGGCATCACAGGTTACTCTGCGCTCTTCATGTGCTTCCTATCAGGAGGCACATGTGATGTCCCACTGTGAACGATGAAGACCTGATGACTTGGTGAAAGTGCTGACTACCGTATCTCCCCATACTAGTGTACATTTTCCCCAATCAGTAAGTAATACCATGTTTCCCCGAAAATATGACACTGTCTTATATTTATTTTTTCTCAAGAAGACACACTAGGGCTTATTTTCAGGGGATGTCTTATTTTTATTAAGTATAATACAACAATCTACATTTATTCAAATACAGTTATGTCACTTTCTTCTGGAACCTGACAGGGGGAGCTGACCTTGTTGGTGGGGCTGGCACTAGTGATGTGTGAACTCCTTTCCCCTAGCCATTTGCATGTGAGCAATAGGATGTCTGCAACCACGGTTACCACCCACACACCGCGCAAGTGTGAACGGCTTGGAGAAAGGAACTGTGGCAGATAAAAGGTATTCCAGTATTCCAGTCTTCCTTAACGCTCAGCACTGAAATGCAGATATGCTGCATAGCCACACCCCTCACTAGGTCTTATTATTGGGGTAGGGCTTACATTTAACAAATGCATAGAAATCCTGCTAGGGCTTATTTTGGGGGTATGTCTTATTTGGGGGGGAACACAGTATAAGGTCAAATACTTTGGTACTATCAGAACAACATGTTCCTTAACCAATTTTTACCTAATCATTTAGGTAGCCAATGAGGATACGTACCTGAATCAATTATTAAATTGGGAATTGAAAATGGTGATTTTCTAACTGATTATTCCTTTCATATTAGTTAGATAGCATTCTAGGAAGAATTATTCTTCCTCGCCCCACTTTCCCCCTTCCTTTTAAAAGAAGCACTTGGACTCATGGCTGCTTATTCAATGGGCTATAGTTAATTATTATTTTTATTTTATTATTATTTTTTTTTGGCAGTTTTTGGCCGGGGCTGGGTTTGAACCCGCCACTTCTGGCATATGGGGCTGGAGCCCTACTCCTTTGAGCCATAGGCACCGCCCCTTTAATCATAATCATTATTCCATCTGATACTCAAATTATTCCAAATTTGGCCTCCATCTCCTTAAGCTAATCTCTGCCCTTTCCATATGACCCGTTAGTCTCTGAACATTTTCTTGTCTTCTAGAACAATATGATAATCTAGCTTTTTTTTTTTTTTATCTATTTTTTTTAGTGGAGACAGGGGTCTCACGCTTGCTCAGGCTGGTCTCAAACTCCTGAGCTCAAGCGATCCTCCTCCCAGAGTGCTAGGATTACAGGTGTGAGGCATGACACCAGGTCTCCAGCCTTACCTTTCACTTTTCCTGCCCACATCTGGAACCGCCATTTACACTAATTAGTCCTGGTTCCTTTTTATGAAATAAAAGGAAATCTGGTTCATACTGATTTTCCATTACAAACTTAACATTACTTTTTTTCTAATTTCCTTTTTATAGATTTATCTTTTCCTTAAAATAAAAATCTTGATTTCTAATAATCATAATACATTTCCTTACTTCCTCTGTCCTACAATATACAAAAAATAGTCGCAAAGTTATGATACAAATATCACTGGTAATAATAAAGTTAGTGATGTTAAGCTTTCTTAGGAATACTTTTGGTAATTAGAACACATTCCCCATACTTGTATAAGGCTGGTGTTTTAAACCAAAAGAAACCAGGACAAAATAGTAAAAAGCAATGTATGAGTATAAATTGTTCTCTGATCTAAAACAAGAAAACAAAATTAAAAACAGCTATAAAAGGAATACAGGGGAAATAAGGGAAAATTCGGATTTGGACTGAATATTAGAGGATACTATAGATGATTAATTTTCTTAGGTAGAATAGTGATTTTGTGATTGTTTGGATGTTAGTGCTGAGATATTTGGGGATGAAGAGCTATAACTTCAAATGCTACTAAGGAAAAGTAAAAACAGAGACAAAACAAATATTACAAAATATTTTAAAATTACTGATTTTTATCTATCGATTGTATCTCAATAAAGCTAAATAATTAAATCTAGGTGGAGGGCATATGGGGATTCATGGCATTATTCTTCTAACTTTATGTACAAATGTAGTATTTTTAAAATAAAAAGTCAGAAAAAATAGAGTAACTACCAACAGTTCTCTTATGTCAACTAATTTATTTATAGTGAATATCTAATCTGTAACATTTATTCATTTTTCATTTTCACAGTGAACTAGTGAACTTTGTGAAGTATAAGAAAAATTAGACTTCAGTGACATTGATAATATTTTATGTCTTTAAAAATAAAACATTAACCGTTAAATCTGGATAAATATATGTACTTTAAATTATTCTACTGACTTTTCCATAATCTCTTGATTTTTTAAGAAAGAAAAATAATATTGGATTATTTTATTACTTAGCATAAAATGTTAACTCTTACAAAAGTTAATAGCAGCATTTAAGTAAAATATCACACTTACTCTGAGAAGTATTTCTGTGGCTACGTTAAATTTAAAATGGAGGAGCTCTTGCAGCTGTTGAATTGATCCTTGGTACTGTGTTATACTTTTCTCGTGCAAATCACACGGTGGAGTTTCCAATAAAATTAACTTCAATTTCTCAATTAACTATAAAGTAAAAGGCTATTTATATTAATACCTGGGCAAATAGTCAAAAGAAAAGTGAAGAAAAGGATCATTTACAAAATTTGAATTCAGGAACACATTTTATCTCCAGGAAAGCATATAGGAATTCTTTCCTGTATTTATTCTGTAATTTAAGATCATGGACAAAGAAATATTTCCCTCTAAAACACCCTTATTGGTATTTTTAATTATGAATAAAAGTTTCATTAGCAAGTTGACAGATGAGTCACAACTTGTCATTACCTAAGATTAGAACTGTGAACTAAAATAAAATCACTGCTGCCTACTTCCCCCAACTCAGCAGACCCCTTCTTGGTTAAGAAACCTGTTAAACTCACCATTACACCCTGTCCCTATTAGAGTTTAGATATAACCGACCAGCATTAATGTTAAAACAGAGATCACAAGACAAAACAGACTCTTTGTGACAATACTAAATTATTAATAGGACCTAACACCAAGCAGAGCAAAGGTTAAATCACTTGAAGGCCATCAATTTGCTTAATAGAATGCTTGAGTAGGTATACAGTGGCTTGTCTCTGATTAACAGACTTCCGCATGTAAACTGAAAACACTCCAAACCTTTGGCAAAGCTTCATCTTTTAATCTATTATAAATCAAAGAGTCTTTAAACCCACCTATAATCTGCAAGCCCCCTCTGCCTTTGAGATGTCCTGCCTTTACAGGCCAAACCAATTCACACCTTCCATGTATTGATTTATGATTTTACCAGCAATTCCTATCTGTCAAAAATGTCTACCTGTTAAACTGTAACCCAACTGCCCTGGGATAGCAATTCCTATCTGTCGAACTGTAACCCAACTGCCCTGGGATCACTTGCTGAAGACTTCGTGGGCATAGATCTCTGGGCCTCAGTCATGCATACTGATTTCAGAATAAACTCCATCATCCATCTATCCATCCATCCATCCAGGGAAGGTCTCATTTCATTGCCTGAGTTACAGTACACATCATAGTTTACTATAACCCCAAACTCCTATGATCAATCCTCCCACCTCCTCAGTGGCTGGGTCAACTAGTGTGTGCCACCGCATCTTTGTATTTGTATTTGTATTTTTTTGTAGAGATGGAGGTCTTGCTATTGCCTCAGCTGGTCTTGAACTCCTAGCCTCAAGCAATCCCTCCCTTTGCCTCCCAAAGTGCTGGGATTACAGGTATGAGCCATGGTGTTCAGCCTCTCTTTAAATTATTGTACAGAGTTTGAGTTTTGTTTTTTTTTTGTAGAGACATAGTCTCACTTTATTGCCCTCGGTAGAGTGCTGTGGCGTCACACAGCTCACAGGGTTTTTTCCCGTTAACAGAGTAATAGAAATAATAACAATATAATAACAAGGAAGAGGTGAATGGAAAGGAAGAGGAGAAAAACTACTAATATTTACTAAATGCTCACTATGTATCAGGAGTTGATCCAAATGCTTTGTATGTTTTAATTCATTTAATCTTCATAACTCTACGAAGTAGATACTGTTATTGTGCCTATTTCATAAATAAGGAAACTGAGGCACAGCATGATCAAAAAACAACTAGGTAAGTGGAAGGATTTAATGTGAATACTGACAGATTATAGGAAATTTCTAAATTAAGAGAGTAAACACAGTAGTATAGGACTCAACCATCCTAGCCACCTCTTACTAGCAGTGTGGACTTGAGCATCTCTATGTACTTAACATGTGTACTTAACATCTCTGTGTCTCTTAACAGATGTACTTAACATCTCTATGTCCCAACTTCATCTGAAAAATGGAGTTAATATAAGGAAAATTGTTCCCCGACCTTCGACACAAACTTACTTTCTGCTTGAGTGACCTACACAGGCACAAGAATGACATGTTGAGTTATACGTGTCCAGGAGGGCAGAAAACCAACCTCCAAGAGAGAATGTATATGTAAGTTGTGGTGGCAAAACCAGGCCTCACGGTTATGGTAAAGATTCTCTAGATTCCAAAGGTCTCTTGACACTGGTTTTGCAAAAACAAGTTGGAAATATTCTGATATTTTCCATGTCTCCTCCTTTAGCAAAAACAAGTTGGAAATATTCTGTCTGATATTTTCCATGTCTCCTCCTTTAGCATTGATAAGTAACTATTACCTACTTTTTCCTGCTTTATGAAAATAAATATGGACTCAAGGTTTGCTTGAGAGGACTCCATCCCGACAGGTCCTCAGTCCCCTTGCACAGACTCTGTGTCAAGCCTCTTTATTCCTCATGCCAAAAGCCCTTCAGTTAATGGTGCCTGTTTCATAGTATTATTATGAGGACCCAGCAATATTTCCAGTGCTTAGCACGGATTGGGCGCTATGTAAGAGTTTGTTAAATACATTTGAAAATTCAGAATTTGGTGTTCACTACAGGGGTCACTTCCTTCTGTTACTGCTACGCAACTCTTGTTATCCCTTCCATACGTTTTTGCCTCAGTTTGCTATTGCTGTGATTATCCTCCTCTTCTGTCCTGTTTTGTTTCACTTAACCTTTTCCCATCCCCTTTGCTATTTATTACTTCTACTCTGTACTACATGTCCTTATAACAGGAAGATGTCCCTTTAACTCATGACTGGTGAGTTCTAGTGCTATTCTCACTGCCTCCCTGCTAACTGCAAAGTACCAGATTCTCAAATAGGCACCATGTTGTTAAGGGGGAAAAACCCGAACTCTGTAAAATAATTTAAAGAGGTCTATTCCGAGCCTAATATGTGTGACTGCAGCCTGGATCGCTTGGCCTCAAGAAGTCCTATGAAAATATGCCCAAGGCAACCGGTTATAGTTTGATTTTACACATTCATGGAAACAGGAATTACATGTAAAATCATGAATCAATACAGGAGACCAAGCATGGTGGCTCACGCCCATAATCCTAACACTCTGGGAGACCAAGGCAGGTAGTTCCTTGATGTCTGGAGTTTGAGACCAGCATGAGTAAGAGTGAGACTGTCTGAGTAACAGCGAGACCGTGTCTACTAAAAATATTAACAATGGAAGGTGTACACTGGTTTGGCCCGAAATGACAGGACATGAGGGTACGGATGAGTTACAGGTTATAGTGGGTTCAAAGAACCTTTGGTTTGTATTTGGTTAAAGAAATGAGGCTTTGTCTAAAGTCTTGGAATGTTTTAAGTCAAGGAAGTCTGTTATTCAGAGACAAGCCTCAACTAATCTGTTAACTGATGGCTTGCAGGTCTTGCACGGCCTTGGGTCCTGTCAATGATTTGGTATTTTATTATTACAAAGTGTAACTATAAAGGGGAGGGGCATAAAGAGGTATGTCTGCCTCCCTTCTCATGTGGGCAACTCAGTTTTAAGGATTTTTCTGGGGTTTCCATTATTAAGTCATATTCTATGTTTCTTCAAATGTAAAATGAATCTGATAACCTTATTGTCCAGATTAAATTAGGCAATGTACTTGAAAGAGGCTGGAGTTACTGTCTTAGAGCAACATGGAGAAAAAGTATACTATAGCAACAGTGACAAGAGGCATAAAAATGTGAGGAATTATAGCAAAAAATAATTAAGGGATAATAACAGGAATAAGAGGAGTACAATTCCTTCTATTATGTAGGTATTTAGGTGTAGATTTCTTCCACGGTTTTTTAATTTCTTTTTTTAAGAGACAGAGTCTCACTTTGTCGCCTTTGTTAAGAGGGCCGTGGCGTCATAGCCCACAGCAACCTCCAGCTCTTGGGCTTAGGCAATTCTCTTGCCTCAGCCTCCTGAGTAGCTGGGACTACAGGCACCTGCCACAAAGCCTGGCTATTTTTTTTTTCTTTTTTGTTGCAGTTTTAGCCAGGCCGGGTTCGAAGCCACCACCCTCGGTATATGGGGCTGGCGCCCTCCTCACTGAGCCACAGGCGCCACCCATAGGTGTAGATTTCTTTATCTTAACTCAGCCTAACATAAAAAGAAATGCATACAGTAAAACCTCCATAGTTGACCACATCCCTACATTGATCACCTTGTAAGGTGACCTAATTTTAATAGAACAGTACAGTATGCCTAGTTCCTTATGTTGACTAGTTACTTATGTATGGTCAATTTACAAAGTTTCCACTATATTTAGTCTCTGACCTCTATTCCTGGCACAGAGCTTCTAAAACCTCAGAATAGGGGTGATAAGAATATCCTTTGCTATTCCTAACAAGCCTTTTTAAACGTATCTGAATTTTTGCTAATAAGGTGGTTCTTGGTGGGACTCTAGATAGGGGACCCAAGATGGCAGCTGACTGCCAGAGGAGCTCAACCATGCAGGGGTCCTCAAACTTTTTAAACAGGTGGCCAGTTCACTGTCCCTCAGACTGTTGGAGGGCCAGACTGCAGGCCGCCGGCTGAGTCAGCTGGTAAGCAGGACAGGCAGTGGCGACAAAAACACCCGGCGAGCCAGATAAATGTCCTCAGTAAGCCGGGCTGCATGTGGCCCGCAGGCCGTAGTTTGAGGTCACCTGGCAGAGGCTAGAGCTTTCAGCCCCACTCCCCAGCCTTCAGGGAGGTGAGAGTGACTACAGATAATAGTCAAGGTCAATGATTTAATCAAGCATGCCCATGTCATGAGGATTCCAGAGAACCCCTAAATGACAAGGTTCAGAAAGCTTCTGGGTCAGTGAACACACGGAAATGCTAGGAGGGTAGCATCAAAGCTCCATGCCCCTTCCTACATACTCTCACCCTATGTATTTATTTCTTCATCCAGCTGTTCGTTTGTATCCTCTGTAATAAACCAGCAGATGTAAATAAATGTTTCCCTGAATTTTATGAGCCATTATTAGCAAATGACTTAACCTGAGGAGGGGTTGTGGGGACCCTAATTTATAGCTGGTTAGTCAAAAGTACAGGTGAGAACCCGGGACTTATAACTGGCAGGGGAAGGCAGTCTTGTGGGACTGAGCCCTGAACTTGTGGGATCTGCACTAACTCCAGGTAATTAATATCAGCACCCAGTTGCTGTCTGGAGAGTTGGAGAACCGGTGTGGGCCACACATTTAGTATCAGAAGTGCTGTAAGTATTAAAAAAGCCTTTTTTTTTTACTTAAAATTTGTTGAGCTTCTTGAATCTGAGAATTCCTATCTTATCAGTTCTGGAAAACGACCACTTGTTATCTGCTTGACTACCGTCTCTCTCCCATTCTTCTGTACCTCCTTCTGGTACCCCCTTTCCTGTATACTGTGAGCCTTTCTTGCTCCAGCAAAAGTGTCTGTGTGTGAACCACTCTTCACATTTTCCAAATCTTGTCTCTGTGCTGTATTGTGGTAAATCCTTCCAATCCAACTTCTTCTTCTTTTTTTTTTTAATTAAATGATAGCTGCATATATTAATGCAATCATGGGGGTACAGTGTGGTGTTTTCATATTCAATTACCAATCCAACTTCTGATTCACTCAGGATTAAGACTTCTCAGTGAAAACAACTATTTCCTCTTCACTAAGATAAAGATGAACCAAGCATATCTTATCATTTCCTTTTGCACAGCGGACTTTTCCCCTGTTATCCAAAACATTTTTTGAGACTCCCAGCCACACATGGGTCTCTGATCCAACCTGCCACCTTACACGTACCCTATGCTTTGCCTCTTCACGGCCCTTTACACCACTGCTAAGCCACTAGGGGTTAGAAGATAATCTCTGGAAAGCCACAAGCTTTGACACTTTCTCACTTTCTGTATTCTTTTATGGCCTTTTATGAACCTGGCAACAGATTTAAAAGGCATTAATTTTTTTTCTCCAGTATTTTTCGAGTGGCAGCTTCTCAAGCTTGCCTAACTATCCTGCTTGCAGTAACTGAAGTTAAGATATTCAGATTCATCTTTGTACCCCCAGTGCCTAGAAAAATGTGTGCTTGGCACATAATAAACATTAAAAATCATGGGTGAATTACTGAATGCCAGATAATTTCAGCTAAGGATAAAATTACTCCCTTCCCCAGTTATCTAGATAAATGCATGCAACTTGATTTTTTTTTCACTTTAATTTGACAAAGATTGTTTCACATTTATATATTATGTTGACCCTATCTAAGGTGGCAAGAGATTTTTGGTTTTAAAAAGGAAAAAAATTAAAAGATTATAAATACTTCTCTCTACAGCCATGAGTTCAGAAGCAGTAGAGTTAATAATTAGCACATAATAAAATTTCTTTCTATTTTTGAAGTCAGTATCAGAATATTTATGATAAACAGTTTATAGGCTACTACTCAAACACTTACATTTAGTACTAGTTTACTCTTCTTAATCACGGCCTCAAAAGTCTCATTTGTTTCCTCTTTCCACAAGCTAATGAAAGTGTTTATTTCTTGGGCTACTGTAGGATCAGGAGTCCCATCACATTCAATGTAATGTTTCCACTATAAAATACAAATATTTGAAGGTTCATGCTGATGAAGATCACTCAAAGATTAAATTACGTTTCTGAAGTATTAGTTCTCATAACCCAGTATTGACACAAATAAATGACCGAGGCCCAAATCTCAAGCAATGAAGGCTTAGTAAGCCCAAGATTTTGAGAATACACCCAGGAAAAACACCAACCACAGACAAGCAATGGCTGTTTTTTCTGAAGAAGAGGTTGAAACTTTCAGATTTTAAAGACATATACAGAGAAAGATAATGGCAGGATGGAGGGCCAGGTTACATTCTTGTGAGGCCCAAGAAATCTATATTTTGCATAAAATAAGAGAGTGAAGGAAGCATCAATTATAAGACAAAAACATGCAATGACTTGAGATAGCTCTAAAATAACAGAATTCTTTCTCATCCAAATACTTTCTAATCCTCAATATTCAGATGACAGAAATACTATATAATTTTCTATTTTTATATTTAAAACATAATTTTTGAGTGGTTTTGTTTTGCTATTATTTTCCTCTTTAATCACTGAGCTTCTTAATTTCAAAAGCTAACACGTGGTCTATCTTCTACTTCCCAAGTTATCACTAACTGCGAGCTGCACTGGCATTTCAGTGTAAGTCCTTCAATTTATTTTGTTTTGTAATCATATTATACTGTACTTAATATTTTTCACCTAAAATTATGCTATAATCTTTTGCCACATTGTAATAAGTTTTTTATTTTTCTCCTAATATTATTTCCAAAGTTATGCTGCTTTGAGCAAAATTAGATTGTCTTAAGAACAAAGTTTTTATATTTTTTTGTTTGCTGTGTTTTATTTTTCTGTCACTTAGGTTCTATAACCTAGGCTGGAGTAAAGTAGCACAATCATAGCTCACTGCAACCTTAACTTCTGGACTCGTTGATCCTGGCTCAAGCAATCCTGCATCAGCTTCCCAGGTAACTGGGACTATAGGTGCAAGCTACCACACTTGGATAATCCATAAAGTTTTTGTAGAGATGGGGTCCCACTATGTTGCCCAGGCTGGCATGAACTCCTGGCCTCAAGCTCTCAAAGCTCTGGGATTACAGGCATGAGTTAACAACACCTGGCTATATTTTAACTTAGGATAGTTTCCTCAGCAGAGACTCCCAATGTAAAAGAAAGAATGGCTTGAAAGGAACAAAAATGTCTTCTGTTTCTTTACAATCCCCTCACCCTTTTTGAGAACTAAAACCCGTCTCAGGCCAGCTGTCAGATGGCAGAGAGTGTCCTTTGTACCACAGGAGATGGCTCAGCACAATTGTCCAGGAGGTCCACGTGGAAAAGATTAAGAGACTGAAGATGTGATCTGTCAACTGTAGGTGAACGACTATATCCTGAGCCTGAAAACCGTCCCTTTAAAAGCTCTGTATTTCTACTTATGGGGAGGACAATAGTACTTTGGGATAGGAGTCTGCCATTCTCCTCATTTGCTGGCAAGTTATTAAACTCCTTCAAACTCCTCTTTCCTTTTCCTCATTATTCTAATGCAGCCTCAGGGACAAGTGCTGAGATTTCAGTAACAGCAACAATTGAATCAGAGTCAAAGGGTATAAACATTTCAAGGATATTATTACTGAGAAATAGCTTTCTACAAAGGTTATAAACATTTACTTTGTCATAATCAATGAATTTGTCAGTTGAGAGGTTTGGGTTTTTTTTTCATAAATTTAAATTTAAATTTTCTTGGGATCAAAATAGATGTTCAACTCCAACTCCCTCTTATGGTGACAAAGTATTAGCTTTAAACTAACAAAGAAATCAGTCTTACCTGAGCAAGCAATCTGGTTTCTCGTTTCAATTTCTCGGCTTCAGGAAAACAACCCTCTAATAAATAAAGTTCTTCAAGTTCTTCATTCCTCCTTTGTAGATCCTGTTGCATGGAGATATATCCATTGATCTGCTTTTTAATTTTAGCTTTATGTTTTACTATTAGCATCTAAAATTTACTTGGCTTTTATAACTACAATTTCAAAATGAATGCTGAAATTAGTTTGACTATAACTGGTATTTTCAAACGGTTTCATCTGTAATAGTGGCTCACAAAGTACATTCTATAAAATTTTGGTGGGTCCCTAAATCTCTTTTGGGATGGGTGAGGTCAAATTTTATTTTCACAACAATACTAAGATCTCATATATCTTTTTTTGCAGTGTACATATTTGCATTAATGGTGCAGGATGCTATAAAACTGCTGGTGTCTTAGCACAAATCAAGGCAGTAGACCTAAACTATACTAGTTCCAACGGAGGGGTGAGGAGAAGGAGCCAGTTCTACATAAGGATGACCTCATGAAGAGGGGAATATTATTAATTTTAATAGATCTCAACCCTTAGTACTTGTTTTAGTGTTAAGTGGGAAGTATGACAAAATGGGAAATATGCATAAAGCACTTCTTTCAGGCTTGGCGCCTGTGGCTCAACCGGCTAAGGCGCCAGCCACCTACACCTGAGCTGGTGGGTTCGAATCCAGCCCGGAAAGAAGTTCGGCAAGCTATAAATCCAAGGAAGATCATTTAAGAACATAAAATACAGGTACAAAGCGGGCCCCAGAACTGCTTACAAG